GTAGAAGCACACAGATATTGTACTAGAGTAAAAGTAGAAGTACTCAGGTCTTGTACTTGAGTAAAAGTAGAAGTACCGTAATTTTCGGACTATAAGGNAGACGGGTAAAGTTTAACCACACTTTGGAGCGCGTTTTCTCCGCCGTGTGTGTGTGTGTGTGTGTGTTGCATGCATGTAGCAGCCGCGTGTGCCGTGTGTGTAAACTGCCCCGCCCCCTCGCACACAGACGGGGGAGAGAGATCTCTCGTCTGGATTGGAAAGATCGAAAATACATCATAGAAGCATTGTTTTGTCTTTTTGCGTATTAAAAACAAAATGTACGACACTGAAACTGCAATATAATGTTTGTGTAGCATAATAAATATGACATGTATTTTTTACATGTCTTCAGTACCGATAAAAATACCGATAACGTCGGAGCTTAACAGTACCACAGTCTTTAATAATTCAGCCCCGGGGACCCTTTAATACCGGGGCTCGGTACCCATCCCTCGATGTAGGATATTTGTATTGACACTTTTGGTTTTAAACCAATTATACGCACATTTTTTACGCAGTCTGGATCTGCATGACAATAATCCTAGAGGTATTTGGTCAATTATAATTTGTTTAAATAGCTGAAAATAATTGTCATCATGTCAAATAATGTTTTTAAGACTTTTGAAATATTGATTCAAGACAGTTTTATACATTTGAAGCATTACTTTCTAATTAATTAATAAAATGCTTTTTAAAAGGATCCGCTGCGGCTCTATGCAAACTTGTCAGTGAACAGTGCAATGAGAATAAATGGTTTCTTGCCAGGGTTTCCACCCAAGATAAATATTGAGAAAACTACATTAAAGTGAACTATGATAGAAGTTGCTTTCCAATATGCAACACTGTGACCGATACACTTCTGGCCACACTCGTATATTAAATACATAGATGGAACTTTTCTTGAGATGAGATGATGTTGAGATACAATTTATTTCAGACCAAATTATTTCCAGAACCGTGTTGAAAGGTAAAGTGTGTTACTTACACACTGATATCTTGTGGTGATTGTCTTTGCTAGGCAACATCTTTACACCTCGAGACTTAAGTTCAGTCATCTTCTTAACTGTGGAGGGAAACAGAGCAGAGACGTATAAGACAGCAGGAAGTGCAATAATGACACCCACACATTACAGCAGAGCCTAAATGTCTGCAGCAAATACACTATATAATACATCATGTTCCACACATCACTGCCCACACCCACTGCAGACATGTTATCAGGACAATTGCAATTAAGCTAAAAAAAAAGGTTCTGCCAAACAACATATGATCTTCATTTTGTACTTTTCAATAGATCTACAAAGACATATGTTTAACGCAGACGAAAATAACTAAACAATGTACATTCTCTTTGCATTCGTGTAGATAGAAAGTTACAGGGAATAACACTATTATTACATTAAGGTTAGAGAGAAAGGGTTAATTAGGAGAAGAAACACAGTATACGATTTATACGATAAAATGATGAGGTTAAAAATATTTATTTTAATGATCAGTGCTGAGAAGAAAGAGCCATCGTAGCTAAGTGGAAGGCTCATCTAAATGCATAATTAATCAGCAATTAAAAAAACACTCAGCATTGTCTATGTCCCAACTCCACACTCATCATATTTCTTACAAAAGAACGTCACTTGTTTTCCATAAATGGTTGCTTTGCTCAGTTTCAGCTGCTTGGCAATTCAAAGCTTATCTGAGTCATGTCTCAAAAAGTTTGTTTGAATATGTCTGGAAGGTAGAATCATAATGCAGACGCTTTTCAGATTGCAACCCTGATTAGAAAAAGGTATTATCAGATCTCTAGTAAGAGTACTTGGGTTGAGGCTATTTCCTGTACCACGCAAATTGAAAAACACTAGAGAAAAAAATATGAAATAAATAGAGCCTAAGAGAATATTCAACAGAGAGTAATTTCATTACTGCAACATGCCGTTGAAGCACGGGACCTGTCATGACAAAAGCTGGTGGGTGGTGGGGGATGGGAGAGTGTTTAATCTAATTAAAGTGTTAGCCTCCCACTTCCCTATGATCTCCTAAACATATTTATCCACCATTAAACCTGTAAACCCATAGGATCATGCCTTGTCTTTTCCATATTCTTCATCTACACTGAACAAAGATATAAACGCAACACTTTTGTTTTTGCTCCCATTTTTCATGAGATGAACTCAAAGATCTAAAACATTTTCTATATACACAAAATAACCATTTCTCTCAAATATTGTTCACAAATCTGAAAAAATCTGTGATAGTGAGCACTTCTCCTTTGCCGAGATAATCCATCTCACCTCACAGGTGTGGCATATCAAGATGCTGATTAGACAGCATGATTATTGCACAGGTGTGCCTTAGGCTGGCCACAATAAAAGGCCACTCTGAAACGTGCAATTTTGCTTTATTGGGGGGGTCTGGGGGGGTCCGAAAACCAGTCAGTATCTGGTGTGAGGGTTATGATTAGGGTTCGGGTAATGTTGTGAATCGAGTGGCCCATGGTGGTGGTGGGGTTATGGTATGGGCAGGCGTATGTTATGGACGACGAACACAGGCCACTCGATTCACAACATTACCCTAACCCTAACCCTACCCCTCACACCAGATACTGACTGGTTTTCGGACCCCCCCAGACCCCCCCAATAAAGCAAAAATGCACGTTTCAGAGTGGCCTTCATGTTGTGGCCAGCCT